TTAAAACTTCTGCGGAACATAACAAAATTCTGCGGAATTCTTTAAACTTAAAAGGTACCAAAAAATTTGACTTATTTAAATTATTCAAATGATCCAATATAAATACTGAAAATATAGAAAAAGTAAATATTTAAAGCACAAATTTAGAAAACAAAAATAAAGCAATTCAGAAATGGGTTCAAGCATAGCGATCAGTCTAAATGAAAGGAGACTATGCGTTTGATTAGAAATAATACTATTTATTCAAATGTTTTTAGTTTTATGAGTCACACGTATCATACCTTAACTGTTCTGATTTCTCCATATTTTGTTTCTTATATTTCTCGGAGCTTAGAATATTCCTTCTTAGAATAATATTCTGCATTCAGTTACGTTTATCAAGTATTTCTATAGCACTTAAAGCAGCTAGCTTCAAATGTTTTTCTAAAATAACAATATCAAAGTAATTCCATTTTGATCTACGCAATATCTTTGTACTTTTTAAATAAGGCATAAAACCATATTATAATAAAAAAAAATTAATATACGCGACATCCGGTCTTTGAAAATTCAGAATTGTCGCTTTGCTAAATAGTAATTGAACAATGATGTAAAATTGAAAATAATGTTTTAGTTTTAAAACCGGCCAGATCCAGTTGCAGATTGCGGAAATGTCTCGACATTGCAGATGACAATGCATACCGGCGTTCATTTAGGTATAACACAATAAATTGTGCAAAATGATCTGAAATTGTGCCATTTTATTTTTTATTTTCCGAATCATATGACACGAAAATGGCTGCATTCGTAAAATTGATTCTCATTTTTTACCGTAAAAATTTAATCGAATTTTCGCATTGTATAATAATTATCTTCTTATATATCAATACATTAATCCTTTATTAATAATACCATAATTTTTCAAAAAATCTTAATTTAATTATTACATTCTTTTTTAAATAATGATATACCCGCCTATCACACCACTTGAGGACAAAACACCTGCGCAATATAAATGAACTTGAAAAAATCTATTAGAAGTTCTTTAATTGTAAAAAGCATAAATTATAAATTTACTATTTTATTACTAATATTTTGTTTTCTGAATTTTAATAACAATTAAAATATTTTCAGATATCGTTAAATAAAACAATGTAATCAAAATTATTCTTAAGGTAATTATTTTAAGTAGAAATTTCCCATATTTGATAAATTATAACGGAAAATTTTATTTTCCCCAAAAAAAAAAGTAAAAATCCATTCCAAGGAATAAGTATAGTATTCTACGGAATAATAATTAAAGCTGTCTAATAATAATATTTAATATGCCCACATACGAGTACCTAGTAATAATTATTTTGATTATAAAAATTCTAATAGCACCAAAATTAGGGTTTGTAATGTAATAGCATTTCATACAATAAGCGAAGTATTGTGATCGCATTAAATTTCACATACGGAGTTTCCAACTTAAATTTTATTCACCGTTATAGAGCATGCCTATACCGTTAAAGTAAAACATCATTTTGTCACAATATGAGATTATCTTTTACTAAGCGATACAATCATCACTTATGGGAAAAGGAAAGTCAATATTAATTGGATTAAAATAGTAAAACGAAAAAAAGTTAGTAAAAAAATGAAAAGATTTAAATGAAATTTCAAAATTGAAGATAGACTAACAACAAAATCAATTGATTCGTTAACCAATAAGCTGTAATAAGTCTGCAATCTGCATTGTATACACACAAAGTAAAATCAACATACTGCACCATTACATTTCTAGAATTTTCAGCGAGATATTCGATATGCTTGTACGTATACTCTGGGTACCGCAATTTCGACCAAATCGATTTTGTTTTGTGTTTATTAAAATTTGAAGTGGATACACACAGATAGCATAATATTTCAGCTGCTGAACTTTCGCTAATTTCCAATTTTTAGACACATACGTGTACGTATATAGAGGAATAATTATAGACTTCGCTGAAATTGAATATTTTAACTATAGCCTTGTTGAAATAATGGCAAATTTAGCAAGATCAAGACTTTGAAGCCGAACTTCTTCAACAGTTGTCTCATTTAAAACAGAATTTTATTTAGAAAATATAGACGCAATACTCTCGGTTATATTAGGACCACATCGAATTTTTTATGTTTCAGTTCTTATTTAATAAAACAATTGATGCGTAAATAATTTTGTAATTTAAAATTATTACATTTCACTCGCCTTTCAAAATTTCAATCACTAATTATAATAGTTCCTATCATAAAAATACTTAACAATTAATATTATTAAGGGTAATTATGTGAAATCCCCACAATTATGTTCATATGCGCAGCTATAAATAAGCTATATATCAAATTTTCTAATTCATGCTATTAATAATGTTATCTTAATGATTTTATATAGAACCGATTATAACTGATTAAAATTAATTATGAATAAAACGAAACGCGTGCGTTAATTAACACTATCTCATTTAAAAAGCTTACGTATAACTGTCTGGGTTGAAAGTTCTTACATAAAAATTTTCTATTTAACTGATATACATCGTTAGCTCTAAATGAATTAATGCTTGAAAATATTTGAAGATTTCTAAATATAGATATTTAGATTTATTAATAGAAACTTTTAATATTATAAGAAATTTTGGTATTATTCAAATTAATTTGTGACTCAATTATTTAATTTCAAATTACAGAAATTTGTTCGATATTATCATTTGATTTATGAATTGAAATTATTATTTGTTTGGAAACAATATGCTACCGAAATTATTAATTTATAACTAAAACAGTAATTAGGTCGAAATTTTTAAATACGTGATTGCTATCAATTAAACGTTCCAAGAAAATCGTATATCGTAAACTTTTTATGGGAGCGACCAAAGTATATTCAAATTCTTTTTAAAAATTTTACTAATCTTGTACAAAATTTTTCTATATTTAATTATGAGTTCAATTAGTTTTTTTTCGTTTTTTTGGAAAATACCAGTAAATTTGTGTAATTATTAGGTTTGACTTGTGATTGAATTATTTAGGAAAAAATATGTTTTTTCTAACTTATTAAAACAGTAATGATGACTTTATAGAATTTCTATTAGCGAATAACGTCATAATATGAATGCGGAATGTATTGATGGATTGACTCCTTTACATATTGCTGCTTCAAAACGTTTTACATCCTCAGTCCAAATTTTAACAAAAAATGCAGGAATCGACCTTAATAAAAAGCAAAAAGCAGGTTTTAGTGCCTTACACCATGCAGTTATGGGGGGAATGTTTGTAATAAAAACTTTAATTTCCACAAATAGAACTGACCTCAATGTGAAATCTGATGATGGTTTATCTCCACTGCATCAATCAGTTATAAACAGTTACATAGACATTACCGAACTTCTTTTACAAAAAACTAGTATTAATATAAATGTTAAAGATAAAAATAACTTTACTCCTTTACACTATGAATCAGTGATGGAAAACATACACATAATTCATCTTTTATTAAAGCACAGGGAAATAAATATTAACGCAATGTCTAAGGATAATTTGACGCCATTGCATTTTGCAATGATAAATAATCAACCCAACGTAACTGTGGTATTATTAGAAAATGATAAAATCCATGTAAATGCTGTCGACAAAAACAATTTAACAGCTTTACATTTTGCTTCAATGAATGGAAATCTTCATTTTCTTGAAGTTTTGAAAGAACGACAAAAATTTAATATTAATGCACAATCAAATCATGCACATTTTTTTATCACTCGATAAAAAAATTAATATAAAGGTTAAGGATGTTCTGGGTGCTACTTCATTGCAGTTTGCACTTGGACATAGAAAATTTGAAACCATTGGATATCTTTTCTCAAAAGTATTGACTAACAAATTTTATTTCAAAGTTTGTCCTTGTTTCCCGGTTTTCACTAGAATGTTTGAATACAAAGATTTGTTTGAACATTTGAAAGAAAGTGCAATACCTAAAGTATCCATCGCTAAATATCCTTTAGACGAGAGAGCAGATGTAAATAGTAAAACTTATAAAAAAAATCACCTTTACATTTAGCAGCTCAAAGCAATGCAATCAATATAATAAATCATTTAATAGAAAAAGGAGCAGATATCAATACAATCATTCAGATGTGGTTGCAATATTAGAAGAGGAAATCAGAATAAGAATGAAACGAAATGTTAAAAAGTCCAAGACAAAAACATCAGTTAGAATCGAGAACTCCGATTTAGAAAGTAATTCTTTGAGTTATAATGTGAAAATTATTTCTCAATGACAGAAAGTGCAGTGAGGATAATGGACTTACAAGCGGAAGCAGCAAAATATATCCGTGGATGTATTCGATAGTAAATATTTTTGCGAATTCGGTTCGAAGTTTTTCTAAAACTTTGCCTTGTATGTAGAAAATCATTAGAATCAAAACATGAATTCTTAAAAGAAAAGCAAATATTTTCTGTATCTATTACAAAGAAATCTGAAACAATTATAAAACAGTCAGCCTTAAATAACGTTATTTCAATACATCGATTAGATATTGGTTTTTTAGACTTACAGTAACATATTATCGGAGCTGTTACAGATGTTAACAAAATTGAGGAAATGTTGACGATCATACAAGTTTATGTACGGAAATCAATTTTCGACGCAAAAGTAGAATACCGTGGTAAATTCTCCAGAAAAAGATTAAATAATTTTATAAATGAATTTTCTCAAAAAAGTTAATTTAAAATTCAATAGACTACCAAACACATCTGCATTCAAGGAAAAACATCTACCGAACTAATAGTTTAAACATGCAAAAAATTTGCTTTTAAAAATAATTCAAATGGAGAAATTGTTTGAGAGTGATTTGATTTCACCACAGCGAAATACTATTTGGTAAATAATTTAAATAATTTTTTTCTGCGACATTAAAAATCTATTGAATTTATAAAAATAAATTACAAATAAGTTAAAAATTGATTGAATCATTAGCGTTTCCATTTTAGTTTATATATTACATGATTCTTCAAAATGTTGAAGAGATTCGTAAGGCAACCTTTGAATTCATCTTTTGGCAAATTATGCAAATTCGGCACAAATCAAAGCTTTTCTGATCTTGTGCATAATCTGGTGATAATCTAAATTGCGACGATTCAATTTAAAAGTATTTATGAACATTTAGTAATACATTCAGAATAAAATGAACAACGTACCGGGTGGTTCAGTAATCAATACTTTAACATATACCATCATTTATATTAACATATAAAATTATTGTTCAAAACTAGTTGTCAAACCTCATAAATTTTCACGAGATTTCTACTTGTCTAAACTTTTTGTCTTATAACTTCTCTTCCAAAAATGATAGAAGCTTCAAACAAACAGTTTGAAAGGGCTACAAGAGGGTTTGAAAGAAACATATTACTTTTTCTTTATATTACTTTGGGAAACACAAGTATTTAGAAAAAAGGACTTTAGCAAGTTCAGCGTATATTCTTGTTCAGCGTAAAATTTTGCGTTGATTTAGACATGTCCGTCCGTCCGATCATCCGTCCGTCCGATCATCCGTCCGTCCGATCATCCGTCCGTCCGATCGCTCGATAACTCAAAAACGAATAATGCAATCGACACCAAACTTTCACAAGTTGTTTCTTTTATGCCAAATACGAACCCTATTGTAATTGGATTAATTCGGACAACGGGTTCAGGTAGCTGCCATACAACTGAAAGAGTTTATTTTAATTATTTCAAAAACTAATAAAGGTATATATATGAAATTTTGTATACGTGTTTTAATAGGATGACTGCAACGGTTCGGATAAAGCTAATTTTAAATATTTGGAAATATTTGTCTGTCGAGTTATAGGTCAGATATATCTGTAAAGCTTCTATAGAATGGTTTCACAGTTTTGTGTAATTGCTGTACAACAAACGTGCAGATTATAATTCTGTCGGTTTATACCAACTGAAACTGTTTTTATTTGTTTTGATTATATTTTAGTTAAGTCTTCCTCTATTTTGTATTATGAAATGATGTTTTAATTGAACAACAAAATTTTCATATGTAAAACAACAAAAAGCTGTGCTCCAAATTTGCTTTCTGAACAATAAACAAAAAATTAAATTCAATAAATACATTTTTATTCACATTTACTACATTGAACTTATTTACTAATTTATTAAGAGCCACAATAATCTTTAAAAGATGCAAAAATTCAAATAATTTCATTAAATATCATAAGTTATTGCTTTTTAAACAAATTTCGTTATTGTTAGTATCTGACGTTTTTAAAATATCAACTTTTTTATTATTGTTGACATACTTGGCATTTGCGTAATCAGCTCCATCATCTGAAGAAATTGAATCAATTTCATTATCATCATCGTCATTGCTATCATTACTATCGCTACAGCTACTATGACTGCATATTCCCTCGTCTATATTAACGATAATGTTATTTGCATACTTTGAATCTTTGGTGGTATATTGACGATCATAATAGTAAAGGGTTTTTGGTTGTGGAAAACCATTAAATCCAGATGAAAGTGTTGTTGAATAAGCGCCCATCTCATCGAAAACGAAAGCATCATTTATTGACAAATTAGGTAAATTCATATCATCCCAAATAATATCTAGAGCATCACATGTTGGTCCCCATATGCAACTTTTATATAATTCTTCATTTGGAACTGTCTCTGGTATTTGTGATTCAGTTTCTGTTGAATCCACTTCATTCAATTGATACTTGATAACATTCGGTTTTAGTATGTAGTGGTCATATGTAATAACATTTAAAGTTCCATAAACACCATCATTTACATAATACATAATTTTTTGGATTTGATCATCAATTTTAATTTCACGTTTCGAATGAATTTTGCATATTAGTTTGAATGCTGATGTCACAAAATAACGTCCTGGCTCAGCAATGAAACGAACATCGTCGCCAGGAAAATATTCATCCAAAGATTTATTTATTATTCCACACATTTTTTGGAATGCGGAATCATCAGAACCAGGAAAACCACCTCCAATATCGAGCAAATTCAAATTTTTGAAACCAAGCTCTTTACCAATATTAAATACATCACGTGCTTTACTAATTGCTTCATCATATGCATCATGATCCAAACAATTTGAACCGACATGAAATGATATACCAACAATGTTCAAATTTAATTTTTTTGCAAGTTCTAAAAGTTTAGGTGCCACAGTAATTGGTTCACATCCAAATTTTCCACCTAATGGACTTAATGCTAATTTTGCTTCACAACAAATTCTTAATACAAGCTCAGCATCAGGATAATTCTCTTTAATTTTAAATAATTCTAAATCTGTGTCAAAAGTCATCATTTTTACATTATTTGCTTTAGCATATTCCAAATGTCCTATTAATTTAGTTGGATGAGCATAAATTATTCGTTCTGGTTCAACATCAATACTTAAAATCTTTTCGATTTCAGCTTTTGATGCACAATCAAAACTGACACCAAGTGAACTTAAAAATTTCAATACCATTATGTTATCATTACACTTAACAGCATAGAATGGTGTCACTCTTGGCATATATTGAATCCACTGATCATATTTTTTCAACAGTTCCGTTAAATCGCAAATCATTAATGATTCATCTGAATTCTTGTATTCTACACCGTTAACGATTTCGTTCAAATTCAATTTGTTATTATAAAAGTTTATGCCTTCCATTTCCTACTTTAGTTTGATTTTGGTAATATTATTAAATAAATAGGTAACAGTTTTTAAATAATATTTTATTAATTATAATTATTTGCCGAAATAAAAAGTTTAATGTTGCTTAAGAAACGCTCACTTTTCGAATGATTTTAGTCTCTGCAATTAACTGAAAAGGTTAACTCGGTTTTGCTGCAAAATCGTTTAAAATTATATTGGGATTTCACTTTAAAATTAGTAAAAGAAAACACAGACGTATTTTAAAGAGAAATCTAATTTATAAGTTTAAGGAAAATTTAAGCTTTAAAGATAGTGAAAAAACTTTGGAATTTCGATTATTTTCATTATCAACACAATATCGAAATTAATTAAAATTCAAAATAAAAATAACAAAAAATTGTTAATGCTAAAAGGTATTATGACCATATGGAACTTCAATTTTAAGAAAAATGTTGAACAATTTTGCAAAAATCCAGAATTTCACAAAAACAAATTAGAACATTATAGTGTTATACAATTACAAACCAATTGTTATACAATGTAAAACCAAAGCTTTCAATTTGATATTCGAATATGATAGTGATTAATAGTTTATGTTTCAATTACGACTATTGTTTTATCGTCTATAAAAAATTTAAATTTTAAAGTCAAATGCAAGTAAAACTTTTTAGCATATTATAAAATAGCGTATTACAGCTTTTATTATAAGGAAAATCCATTATGTATTTGTGTTTTATAGCGAATAGAGTTCTACTTACATAAATTTTTAATTTTAGGTACTTCCACAAACTACTTATAGAAATGGAAACTGTAATTAATTGATAAGAACTTGATAAAAATTTAAAGGCGGCTCAACATATTATGAAAGCGTTTCAAATTTGTTACTTAATTACAAGCGATATATAGAAAAAGAACAAACAAAACAATAAGGAAGACCCAGGAATTAGTATTTTCCTTCTTATGCAAAGTTTTTTCAATAATAGAAATGTTGGAATAACTTAAACTTGTACATTTACTCTTATGTGTATATCAACTCTCTATCGTTTTTGAATTTGAGTTACATATTTTCAACTTAAACAAAACAAAATTCAATAACAAAAATTACCGTTGCAATTAATTGGCCATAAATAGATTTGATTCATTAGAAAATAATAAGCACGAGCGTAACTGCATATATTTTATAAAACAAATATTGAGAATATGGTAATTACGAGAGATGAATGTCATTGTAAGCTTTAAAAACTTGATATTAACTACGTCACGGCTACTAACTGTCTATGTCGATTTTCATGTTATTATAATATATCAAATATGTAAGCCAAGCTTTTGGAATTTATCAATTCAGATTGTTTAATACCGGTTTTAAATGTATTAGTTGAATTTTTGTTAAATTGTTTTTACCGGCCGTATTGTGTATACAATAGGTAGGTTATGTGATGGCAACAAATTTTGAATATCGAGTTTTCGGTGGGAAGGCACTTCTCCATAGTAGGGAAGTGTAAATAAACTATTTTTAGCAACCTGTCGGTCTGTCGGTCTGTGTGTGCACGCGTGTATCTCAAGTTCGGCTGAACCGATTTTGATGAAATTTTATATGTAAGTTTATTTCGACCATGGCACGGATTGATTAACTTTTAGGATATATCTGGGCATCTGGCCTTGGGAACTGCACTTTTTACCGAGCCTGTTTTACATTTTTGAACATTTTGAAGAAAATATTCAACCGATTTACTTGAAATTTCATATATAAACTCAGCTCAACAGAACGAATTGATGGAATTTTTTGAAATTTGATATTTGAGTTCTGGTTGTTGCCGAAACTAACTGGCGAGCATTTCAGGGAATTCGGGTAGCACAAAGCGAAACTCTACTAAGAGCCAAATTTACATTTTTCTAGATATGTTAACTATAAGCTTACTAACGTCCTCAAAATTGAAAACAAGTATTTAGCAGACATTTTTATAATATTCTGTAACACTTTCACTTAACTAGACAATTCACATTGCGGTCGGTTATGTGCTGACCACATCAGATTTTTTTATTATACCCTGCACTTCGTGAAGGGTATATTAACTTTGGTATGGAGTTTGTAACTACTTGAAGGAGTCATCTGCGGTATGGACATATATATATATTCTTGCTCAGCGTAAAATTCTGCGTTGATTTAGATATGTCCGTCCGTCCGTCCGTCCGATCGCACGATAACTCAAAAACGAATAATGCAATCGACACCAAACTTTCACAAGTTGCTTCTTTTGTGCCAAGGACGAGCCCTATTGTTATTGGACCAATTCGGACAACGGGTTCGGGTAGCTGCCATACAACTCAAAGAGTTTATTTTAATTATTTCAAAAACTAATAAAGGTACAAATATAAAATTTTGTATACATGTGTCCAATTATATTCTATATATGCTCTAAAAATTTTAATGAGATAGCTGCACCAGTTTGGGTGGCTGCCATACAACTCCAAAAGCAAATTTTTTATATTCGGCAAAATAATAAAGTCAGATTCATGAAACTTGGCAGTCGTGTGTCCAATTATAGATCAAAGATATTTCTGAAGTTTTGGTGGAATTGCTTGACAGGTTCGAGTGGCTCCCATACAAGTTTAAAAGCTTATTTTAAATATTTGGAAAAATAATAAAGTCAGATTCATGAAACTTGGCAGTTGTGTGTCCAATTATAGGTCAAAGATATTTTTGAAGTTTTTCTGGAATTGCTTGACAGGTTCGAGTGGCTCCCATACAAGTCCAAAAACTTATTTTAAATATTTGGAAAAGTAATAAAGTTAGATTCATGAAACTTGGCAGTTGTGTGTCCAATTATAGATCAGATATATTAGCGAAGTTTTAGTGGAATTGCTTGGCAGTTTCGGGTACCTGCCATACAACTCCAAAAGCTAATTTTAAATATTTGGAAAAATAATAAAGTCAGATTCATGAAACTTGGTAGTTGTGTGTTCAGTTATAGGTCAGACATATCCGTGAAGTTTCTATAGAATGGTTTCACAGGTTTGAGTAATTGCTATACAACAATGAAAGGTGCAGGGTATAATTCAATCGGTTCATACCGACTGAAACGTTTTTACTTGTTTTTTATTTGTTTACATTCATTTTCACAGCAGAACTTAAATAAATTCAAAAATTCAATGGATTTACTGATTGGAATCTCCTAATTTATACTTTCATCTCCATAACATTACTCGGTTGTATTCTCATCAATGTAATAGAAAATTGTGCCTCTCAATGAAAATATACTTAAACTTAGCTTCAACGTAATAATTATAAAATGCTATAGTGATTACATAATTCTAAAACTCCTTACATGTAATAATTAAATTCGATAATATTAAAAGTGTCTCTAATACTTTCCAAGCTTATGATTTATTTTCTTGCGAAATATAAACGTTGTTTTAAGCGATCCCTTATAAATAATTGTGTTTTTGGAATTTTTGTACCTAGTCATATTTTTAATTCTTACATTATTAGTGTTCAAAAACTCAATTTTCTTCAAATTTCAAATCGTTGAAATTGTTTAAAACACTATTGCCCGAAGACCTTTCAGAAAATCGATTCTGTCCGGAGTAAGGGAGAAAAAAGAAAGTCACAAGAAATACATATAGAACCATACATACACATGAAATTTTAAAATACGTACAATAATTAGAATAAAGGTTATTAACATCTTTATTACGTAAATAAAATCACTATAAAATTAAAAATAGTTATGATTATTTAATTATTGGATTGATGAGAATTAAATAGAATTTTGGTTATGAAAATTATTAGACTAATTCTATATTATATTTATTGGAAATACCGGCACGTAAGAATAATATAACAATAAAATATATAAAAAATGTTTCTTATATTGGCAATATGGGAAATACCAACACCATTAAACTAAAATTATTATTTCATGCTAACGCAGAAAACTTCACGTAAGATTTTTATTCATAATTTAGGTTTTATATTTTGACTAAAATTTCAAATGTCATAAATAAATTCTACAACATTTCCAAATACTTGTAACAGCACACATATAAAATGTCTTAATTTAAAAATAAGATACATATTGTTTAATGTAACCCGGCTTTTGAAATGCATAACTTCATAAAGATTTACGAATCTTACTCCAATTGAAAAATATTGAAAGTTCGACTCTGATTCCGCAACCCTATATAAATATCCCTGCTCATGTTTATATTTGTATAGCCGTACGAAAGTATGTTCGACGGGTATACTAATTTGGCCTAACCGTTTGTAACGCTAAGAAATAATGGTCTGAAATATAGACTCAAGTATATGTTTTTGATCAGGGTTTAATTCTGAGTTGATTTATTTATTTGTTTATTTCGAAGGATGCCCTGGAAATAATTGTCACAGTAGGATTTACAGTTTAAAATTTTAGCTGTTTTATTTATTTTAAAATAATTTATAAATTATTTTATACATATATAAAAATTATTTTAAAATAAATTGGCTTTGTCTGTCCGTCCGTACTTCCGTCCCAGGGATAACTCAAAAACTAATGTCTACAAGATCTATAGAAAACTAACACCACGTACAAACTGTTTTACCCATTCCTTTTATAAGAAATTGAACTAAGCTCACCAAATTTTCACAAATGGTTTATGAAGTAGCAAATGATTGAACCCTATTTAAATACGATGTGACCAAGGCAGTGGTTAGCCAGATGCATTAAAAACTTCAAAAGTGGTTTGGCTATAACTCAGAAATTATATTAAAGATATTATGTAGAAATTTCGCGCAAACATGTATATTATTTAAACAGTTATGTATGATAAAATTTATCGAAATTCTTAATTAGTTTTGGTAGCTCCCATAAAACTTCAATACTTTCAGAATTGACGCATAACTCTCTTTTTTCTAGTTAAATTTACCCAAAATTAGTTCCGCACCTAAATGCTTTGATAATATGAGAAATTCGAAAGGTCTGTATATTAAATTTGAAATTTAAATAATTTAAAGTTGCCAAAATTCTTGTTAATTTAACTAATTTCTTTTTTGTGAAAAGTAACTGGTCAAATTAACGAGATTCAACTGGTCAAATTCGGTCGATTCTTTCTTTTTAATCGATTATGTTTCTAATAAATTATGACATATCCTTCATTAAAATAATTATACATAATAAAAAATATTATCAGAACGTTCATTAGAACAGAACATATAAACTCCAATTTAATTCAGAAAGCTGGAATTTTTGAATTTGTTAGACAGATATTCAGTATTATGCTAATCTAATCACAAAAAATAACAAAAAAAAATTTTTATTATTGATTCGCCTAAAATTCAAATAAAAACTTAATCAAAATTTACCTATAATCTTCACTAATAAAATCAATTTTAATAATTATGTAGAAGCTTTTATTTTGGCTATTAATACCCGAATAATCGAAAATAGTAATCGATAACATTTTCGCAAAATTCATGACTTTAAATTGTTATATCCGATTTTAATTGGTATTCTAATTTTTATTATGAATTTGTCAAGTAGGTGATAATTTAATTGTAACTATTCATGTACTAAAATTCTATTTTTAAAATAATTATTAATAATAGTTACCCGTTTATTATCACATGCAATACGATTACATATAAAATTTTCGAATGAAGTCGTTATAATATTGAAAATTAAGTAAAATTAATTGAAATTATTATGAAATTATTTAATTGTGTAATAAAGGTTGATTGAATATAACAATTAAAGAATAATAACAATAATACCAAGAATTTCAATTTTTTAAAAATTGGAAAATTTATGGGCATAATTTTAGTCATGATTGTTTCAAAGATTATTAGAAACAATAAGTTTGAATCATCATAATAAAAAATTTTTAAAATAAAATTTTTATTCTATTTTTAATTCTCCTAAATAATTGAGTTCTTAATACTACTTAAAAATTCCGATTAGCTTCTAATTATATAGAATCGCTTAATAATTCTCATTAATTGCATTAGAAGCATACCTATAGGAATTTTGACGGAAATTTTGTGTAATACAATTAATTATTTCGTAATTTCATAGTGCAATGCATAGGCGACTTTTAACTACATATTCTTTTAATTCTGAATGCAATTACTCAATGCCTAGTCTTGTAGAGGTTCAAATTTGCAAAATAAAAAATGTGAACCCAAAAACTTTTTAGGTTAGGTTTTTATAACAAATGAAAATCTAATTTTTGCAAAAAAAAATTTTTTACACAAACATTATTTTACATAATCAAATTTCCAATGCTTTTCGCTCTTTAAATTCCCAAAAGTTCTTTTTGTTCTAAAGCCTTTTCTACAATTCGCATTCCTTGTTGTTTAATTTGCTTACGAGTTGGTATATTTGAATAATCTCTTGTTTCTAAAATAAATTTTATTTATTTTATAAAAATCGCAGTTAAATTTATAATATGTAGTAGACAAACCCAGTTCATCTTCTTTTTTATCTAAATCATCAAATTTATTTACTTCCTCAACTTCAACAATATCAGTATATTTAGTTCTTAATTGCTGTAACATATTTGGAAGATCATTTACAAGATCATCTTTTGGTAATCTTTGACTTATAATTCCTATTTTTTCTAAAACTCTTATCATAATTTGTTCGGCTACCCAAAAAACAAAAATTCTTAAGATATTTATATTTTTTTTATGAAAATAAAGTTACCATCATCTTCTCTGTAAACTGGTGGTAAAACTTTAATTGGTTTAGCTTCAAAATCTAATAATGGTAATTTTAATTCTGGGCTTGGATATTTTCGTTCAATAATTTCCATTGGATTATCAACATGCCGTAGGACATCTAACATTTGATACAAAGATTTTCTGCAAAAAGTTTTTTTTTGTTTTAATTATGTGATTTTATTTTAATTATTAATAAAAAAATTTACTGAAATATTCCAAGAATGTTTCCCATATTAGCAATTTGTTGTTCCTCTTCTTTTTGTAAATTTTTTTCCTCTTCAATTTGTTCCTGAAATTCCTTTATTTGATCCAATCGACTAAAAAAATATGAAAAATAATGAGTCACATTCCTACTCACGCTCAAATTTTCTAATTAAAGAAAGAACATAAGAATTCTATTCCAGTATGTAATTTATATAACTAAGTCATAGATGTAGACTTGTCAATTCTAACTTACTTCTCTTCTTCTTCTGTAAAATTAAATTTTTTTGCGATTTCTTGTGTTCGGGTAGGTTTTACAGTTCCTGACATCATTGAAAATATTTCGTCTTTGAATTCTTTTTCTTTTATCTCATTTTTCAAAATCATATCTGTCATTTTGAATCTAAAATATACAATTTATTTTATTAAATTCATTATTAACTGAATAGGTAGGGTGAACGCATGAATTCTAGCTCCAAACCTTGGATAAATATCTTTTGGTTTTTCAGCTGCTGTTACAATTTGTAATTCTTTCATAACTCTTTCAAGATCTTCTTTTTGTTGTCGCATATGTTCCATTGATTTTGTTTCTCTTACATATTCATTTTTTGGTCCAATTGTTGCAATCTAAAGAAATTTTAAGGTAAATCAGTATATCAACATAATTAAATGTCGTAAATAACATTTCAGGTACCGTCAACAAAAATTAGTATACATGAAATAGCATGAAATTTGAAAACTATTAAAAATAATATTGCAGTTCAGAGTTCTTTCATTGCATACAATAAGGGAAATTCCCTCAAATGTCATGGTACCAAACATCACATGACGGGTTTTCGACGGTAATGTGTTTCTTAGTGCTTGGAAAGTGTAAATAAGTTATTTTTAGAGAAATGTCTGTCAGTCTGTCTGTCTGTCAAACTGTCTGTGCACTTCAGGGGCTAAATTTACATTTTTGCTCATTTACGCAGAACTAACCAACCAATTTACTTCAAAATTCATATTTAAAGTCTGGTAGTAAAATCAATGAACTAATAAATTTTTCGCGAATATACAAGGCCTAGAAACGGAACATTCACTAATACCAATTTTACATATTTGAAAATATCTCAGGAAATTAAAATTTGCCTTCTGGCTGTTTACGAAATTAACTATAGAAAACTTTGCAGGGAAATCGGATCATGGAAAATTAACCTCCGCTAAGAACCACATTTAGATTTTTCAAGGTATACACTAACTATATTATTCATACAATGCTTAATCTACGGATTGAAAATAAAATGAAAACACATCAAGTACATCAAGTTTAGTAGCTCTACTAAATATTATATGTGTAAATTATTTGGATTAAAATTAGATTAATTGAATTCATGATTTAGTATAAGAAAAAAAAAAAAAAAATAAAAATTAATTTCAATATTTATTTTAGGCATGCAGAGGATCTCGGCTAAATCATTGTTATGAGTGCAACTATCTCCATTATTGAAATCAGATCACTCAAATTGGAATTAGCAATTGATTGAAATGAAGTTATAGGACATTCAAAAAAATCCAGAAGTAAATTTCTGAAATTAACGTGCGTTCAAGGCATCAAGAAACCAAATATTAAGAAACTTGACGCATGTCATTTATATTTTTATCTATATAGTAAAAACTTTCCCTTAGATTTCAAACTCAAAATAATAATTTTTTATTAAATTGATCTTTTAAAATAACTTACCGATTTTCTAACAGTGTTAATCATAGCTTTATTATCTTTAGAACTTTTCTTCTTAAATTCTTCTACCAATTTAATATTTTGCTGGATTCGAAAATTTTTTTCAGTTTCCATTTTCTTAAAATGTACCATAAATAAATGATTTTTCTCTTAATAAATTTTTGAATTCATTTTGTTAGAAACTTAACTAGGTACCTGATATTCTTCACGTAAACATTTTTCTTTACCCATTACAACAGGATAACCTAACATTATAGTTAATCTTATGAATTTTTCTTGTTCAATAACATCTTCTTCTAAGGATTTCAATACTGGTTCATAATAATTTTCATCTTTTTTTAATATACAAATCCATCTTTTATATGCACGTTGTATTGCCTTAAATGCATACACTCTAGTTTGAGAAGTAGAAATTTCCGTTCTACAATTTATAATATCAATTTCATCTGGTATTTTTAATTCTTTGCCAAATTTTATATGATCTTCAAGTTTAGATTTTTCAATCTTAAAGAGGTTATTAACGAAAAATATATTTTATTTAATTTTATTTATTTTAAAAACGAAATAATATTTATTGAAATTCATATATATGTAAGTACATTGTTCACTATGGAAATAAATAATGAATATTGCTTATTACAGCTGTAGAACATATGGATGACGTAGCCAAAATTATGAGTCAATATACAAAAATTAAAAAATGTTCTACTGAAACTGAACTCGAACCAGTGACCTAACGCTTCACAGTGGAACGTTCTACCAACTGAACTACAGGTTCTAAAGAAATTATTGAAAATTTTGTTAAAATTTTAAAGCCAAAATTTTGTAGAAGTATAAAATTGGCCATTAACATTTCTTTATCAAATATCTTGCCTTTTCATAGAATGTTTGAATTTAAAAAGGATAAAATATTAATATGATAAACTACAAGCATCCCTTACAAATATTTCTATAGTTGTTGTATTTATTAATTTACGTCACAACCATTTCTCCTTCCATGTTAATGTAATAAGCGATCAGAAATTATCGAAAGCATATTGTAGTAAAAATTTAACAATCAACCCTATTAATTTTCGATCATAAAAAATTTAAAGGAAAAAATCTTTTCACTTTTAAAATCGAACTCACATACAGACCATATGACATTAAAACTCAGTTATGTTGCTGCCATGCATTATCATAAGCAATTCATTATTAAATTGTTGTGAGTCCCTTTGGATTCATGCACATATATAAGTAAATGCTTATGCAAGTAAGCAAATTCCAAAAAAAAAATGTAAACAAAACCCAGAGCAGATGCTTTAATTTTTTATAAGGTTTTTTTATTTCTGTGCGCACTCTTTCAAAAGTATTGCATTACAAAAAACTAAAAAAAAAAGAAGAAAACAAACTCGTGCGGTATAAAATGCATCCGTTATTTTCTTTTCATCAACTTTTTTTTTTACCTTCTTTCTGTCTACTTTTGTTGCTCTGTTTTGTGCTATGGAAAACTATGGGTAACTTTGTTATATAGGTACTTAGTTATAGTTTTATCAACCCTTATAAAAACCATATTTTTTTTTTAAGAATTCCTCACTAATATTTCTGTACGCCTGATACCTAAAGGATTCATTTGGTGGTTGAATTGTTGGTCAAAGAAAGGGTTATTAAAAGAAACCATTAATGAATATTTTTTCTTTTAATATCCTTCTAAACTAAATTCATTGCAAAATTTTTGTAGGAATTTCCATAATAAAATTAAATTATTGGACACTAGTTAAATATCAAATTTGGAAGCATATTAAAAATCAAATATTTGAAAACAGATTATTTTACCGGAAAGATAGTCATTATGCAATATATAAAGCATAATCTCAATTTTTACGAGATAATTAGTTAATTTAATTATAATTTTAAATGCTCGTAATTTAATAATTAAATTTAGGAGTTATTACAATTTTATAATAGTACTTGTGCGAACGTATTTTCGAAGGGTTTTTTTTTTTTTTTTTTTCCTTCTTCACTCCTAGGAGGAGTATAGGGCTGGTGCATGATATCTATCGTGCCCTAGTTTCTATAGTCATAGAGAGTTAGCTAGGTAGGTGACTAGCCTGCCGTAGTTTTATTTATATTAATTATTTGAGGTTATTAATATTTACTGTTTATTTTTCTTAGTTTTTAGTATCGAATATTATAAATATTTGAAAATTACTTGTATAATATTTATTAGTATTGCATATTAAGTTATATAATATTGAATATAATTTTTATAGTGACCTGACCGGGGTTTGAACCCGAGACCCTTCAATAAATAAAATGAATAAAATGAAATAATGGTCCGAGATATAGACAAAAGCGTATGTTTATGATCAGCGTCGAATTCTGAGTCGATTTGTCCGTCCGTTTGTCTCAGCACAAAAAGAAATTAAACTAAGGTCACCAAATTTTCACAAATGATTTGTAATAGTAAATTCCGGAACCCTTTTTAAAGTCAATGTGATCGAAGCAGAGTTTCGAATAGCTGTCATAAAACTTCAAAAACTATTTGGCTATATCTCAGAAATTATTGAAGCTTTAATATCGAAATTTCGCGCAATTGAAAAAATTTATTGAAATTTCTTTACTCCTTCTAGTAGCGGTCATACAACTTTAAAAGTAATTTGGTCATAATTTTGGAATTCTTGAAGATACAGTATCAAAATTTTGCAAAAAAGCTATGATAAAATGGCCACTATTCTCGGTAGAAACAGGTTATGATAGCTGCCGTACAACTTCAAAAGTTATTTGGTCGTATATTACAGAAACCAATAAAAGTGAGTAAAAAAAAAGCCATAATGAAAATTTTCAATAAACAATCAATTTTCAATAATGGGTGTTATTTTCAGTAAGAATCTTCGGGATGGTATGAGTTTATGTGGTAAACTGGTATATTATGTATAAAATGGCACTGTACACATAAAAAAACAAGGTCATGTAAAACAATGTGGCAATTACAATACAACTCTTATATCATTTATTCGTTCAGTTATCACAAAGTTGTCACGGTTACCCCTGCCTATTCTCGTTTAACAATACAATTCTTAAAATCTAACTGAATTAAGATTATATTTTCAATCCGTCCTATTAATTTTTACCTAATTCAATAAAAAATTATATAAAAAATTTTGCTTTACTCAAATTCATAAATGTTACTCTATTGTCTTCCAACATACAAGGAACATATTATAAATATTGATTGGCCAATTTCGAGTTTGGCATATTTTTGCTTTCATTTTGTCTTTTTAATTTCCACATACCAATTTTTGTTTATATAAATCCATTGTTTTTTGCAATTCATAACGTAATTTATCTCTTTTACGTCTCATTCGAAAAGTATTATCATTAGCATGTTCTACAATAGCATAAAGTGGCATTGAACTGTATAAACGTTGTAAGGTTGTATTATGTGAAAATAATGTTCTAATAATTAATTTGTCACCAGATAATGCTGATTTTAAACGAACACGTCCACTGCGACATTGTTCTTTTAAATTTTGAAATTTATTTTCTTTTTTACGAGTATCCGATCGCAATTCCAAACGTTTATAATGCAAATGAGTATCTATAAAAGAAAAAAATTGTTTTTAAATATTATTTGAAATAGGTATTTTACAGAACGCCACCAATCTGGGGATCATATGGAACATTTCATTCATTTAAATTTACAAATGACAGACAGTCATATACAATTACAGCACTCATATATTTTTAAAAATTGTTCGCAGCAAATGCAGTAGTATACAGTTTGCGCTTTCAATATTTCAAAAATATTTGCAATGGCGTTCTGGAAAAGTCTCATTGACTTTATTTTTTTGAGAATGAATCGCTATAATAAACTTCCCTTACAATAATTTTAATTTTTTTTTTACCTAACATTTTAACCATGTGCTGGTATTGTTCATTTAATGCATTTGGTGGCCATTTATCTCCCTCCATGAATCCATGCAAACGAAAATTTTTTGAACCAAACAATCCATGTAGTCGGGGAGCTCTTGGTAATGCTGGCTTAAATAATTCGGCATTCGGTAAATCGATTGGCATATTTCTTTTAAGTATTTTCTTCTTTTGTATTGTTTACGATTATTAAAATTTATTCGCTTTTAAAAGGATCAAAACTATCTATGTATAAGCATACATACATATATTACAAAATATATATATGTACATACATATGTAATATAATTTGCTAGCTGAGCAAATTTTGACAATATACACTTATATTTTGTTTATTGGAAAGATTATTTTGGAGCCCGAAAAATATTTTATTTAAAATAAAAAAAAATAATTTATGTATATTTTTTATGACAACAAAATGTCTAATTTTATAATTCGAATAAAATTGAAATTTGGTTTTATTATAAAATTAAAAATTGGAACTCAATGTTTACTATGCAAATATATTGAGAAAAAAATTAATTATTTGTTGCTTGGGGAAATGAAAAGAGCAATATTAAACAATTTTGCAATAACAAATGTTGCATAAACAGCACTTGTGACAGGTGAATATGTGATTTAGATCAATTATTGAATATCAACAAGTTGACATATTGCTGCAGTCTTTTTTCATTCGGGCACTAGCATTGCTAGAACTATTTTGTCTATTATGAATGTAATTATAAGTTGGACCTTAGAAATAAATAAATGTTAATTAATTTTTTTACAAAATGTTTAATAGGCATAATACTATGTAGTGCCATTTTAATGTTTAAGTAATTAAACACTCCGACCAAATATATAGAACAAAAATAGATTTACAATAAATTTGCCTCATGTTAAACTTAAGCTCTTGTGTAAGACATCGACATTTTCACTTAAATCGAATTTATTCTGAATGCCTTTTTTTGAAGGTTATTTAAAACATAGTTTTTGTCTTGTAATTTATAGTCCATAAACTAAGGTCTAAATTGTAGTTATCCGTTGACATTGTTCAACAACCTTATTTGAACTTAATACAATGTGAACATCTTTGTTTTTATGTATTTTATATTTCAAATAAAAATGCGTTAAAAAAACTTTCTAGTATTACAATATTATTTGTACAATACAAACCTTCCTTTTTAATATTACGAGTATGAAAACTAAAATTTACAAAGAAAAAAAAATACATTTATGAAATTCAAACAAAACAAACGATCAAATTTGCTCAGCCTAAGTGTATGCATTATTTTCGCTTCATATTCAGGTTTTTTGTATTACACTTTGAATTAGTTATGCTTTTCTTGTTTTATTGGATTTGCCAATATTTCATCTTTCTTATCAACTTTGGAGCTTAATCAACTCTAGACTAACCTTGGAATAGACTCTTTTAGGTAGTTTTAAGTTAGATTAGGTAACCTTGTATAGGTTAATGTAATATTCATAAAGAGAAAAATTAGTATTACAATTTTTTCATGTGATGTTGTTGTATATTGGGGTCTATTATTAAGTGCGATTCTATTTATGTGTATATATTGTACATAAAGAGAATTTAGAGAATAGAGTCGTGTTATTAATTTTACTACAACTACAACTGTTACCATATTACTGCAAATCCAGTTTTACTACTTTTTTGCATTGATACTAGAAAATGTATAGTTATTGTAATACTTAATTTATTAATATAAAAATAAATAAAAATTAATATATATTATTAAAAATAATATTAATATATTTCGTTTCACGTCTTTTCAATACATATATTCTTATTATTTATTCTATTTTTATAACCGTACGAACGTATGTTCGTTGGATATACTAAATTTGCCTTACAGTTTGTATAGCTAAGAAATAACGGTCTGAGATATAGACTCAAGTGTATGTTTTTGATCAGCGTCAAATTCTGAGTCTATTTAGCTTTGTCTGTCCGTTCGTCTGTCACAGCGATAACTCAAAAACTAATTGAGCTGAGTTCACCAAATTTTCACAAATGATTTATTGTAATGAGCGCCAGAACCCTATTTAAATTGGACATGATCGGGCTATATCTCAGAAACTATAAAAGCTGTGTTATTGAAATTTCACACAAACGAATATTAGTATGGCCAATGTGTCTGATAAAAGTCATTGAAATTACTTGGCTCTTTCTGGTAGCCGCGATACAACTTCAATAGTAGTTTGGCACACACAATCTCATAAAGTATAGTCTGTCCCATAGTTAGTTATGGCATATTTATTCGCACAGAATTGACAAGGTCAACTCTACTTTTTCTTGTTTCTTTTGAAAATTCATAATAAAATTTTGTTTCAAACTTGTTGTTTTCAAAATTAAAAAAGTTTCGAAAAAATATAATTGTTTTCATTAACAAAATCTGATTTGAAATCAATTTTAAATAAATAATCTATTTAGGTAGATAGCTTAATTTTTTTTTTATGTTAATGATAACCGCAAATTACTATACTACGGCTCTAGGTATACTACTTGAGACAAAATGCTACTGAAAAACAACTAAAAAATAACAACACTGGAACAGAGAATAGAGAATTTCTTAAGTAGTCTATTTCCTTGACACAAGTGAATTCCAATGCTTTTAGCGTTTTTGTATAAAGATTTGGAAATTACTTTTGGTTTACTTTCTGAGTGCGCCGCTCTGACAGACATACAAATTAACTGAATTAGATATTCTCACTAAATTTTTCCTTGTACAACTTGGATTTAAATTCATTTTAATATTAAAAAGAGAAGCTTTTCTGACGGTGAGGGAAAGTTAATGAGAAATAATTTAATTTCTTTTTTTTTTCAAATTTTCTACACATTTATTTATTTTTTGTTTTTATATTTTATTTCATTACGGATCATACACTATATACATTTTTTTTTTATATAATATTTACTTGTATACATACGAATTATATGAATATATATTTATTTTTTTTTTTTCTTTTTTTTTTATGTTTTTAAAACATTAACATAAGCATTTTTTCCTCTATTTATTTACTTTCGTAATTTTTTTTTTACACTTTTAAATTTTTATATTTTTTTTTTGCAGTGATTTTTTCAATTTTTTTTTTTTTTTGATTTTTGTATATTTTTTAATAATGTTTAGGAGTATTAAAGTATGTTTATTTATTTTTTGAACATTATTTAAAAATTTTATTTTTAAATATATATATATATATATTATTTTTTTTCCATTTTTTTTTAATATTTTTTTTATTTTCTTAAATAAAAATTTTTATACCTACACACATATTGTGCATCACATTATTAATAATTTTTTTTTTGTTTTATATTTTATATAATATTTTATATATATATATATATATATATTATTTATAACTATTTCTACATTCTGTTTTATTTATTTATTATTAATAATTATAATTATTAATAAAATTTGTTTTTTGCATTTTATGTTGATTCGATATTTTTTCCCTATTAATTTTATTTATATATATTTATTATACATATCGAATTTTTTTAAAAATTTAAAATTAAAAAATAAATTGTGATTGATAGAATAGCAAAAAAAAAAAACAAGATTTTCTTTTCATTATTAATCCGATTCGGTTCCAAATTGAGATATTATTGTTGATATTTAATTATAGTAAATTAATGAATTTAAAATGTACGTTCGCCTAAAATGGAGTCATTTTAAAACTGAATTAGTGAAAATCTACAAAAAAAAAAGTATTACCGTGTATAATGATTTTAAAAATTTACAGTAAATATACTGAAAATAAATTTGATCAATTTTTTGTGTTACATTCAAATATTTTAAATAAATAAATATAAAATGTAATTTTTTAAATTGCAATTCTATACAAATATTATTTAAATGCAATACTAAAATTTAAATATCAAATGATTAAATAAAATATTGGTTTTCGTTAATGGCAACCAAAATCAAATTCCCGATCAATTTATATAATAAAATATATACACACGACAGCTCGTACATTTATACATTTTTCATAAGGTTAAATTTATTTCATTCAGATAACAATCAAAATTATTTTTTAAAACAATTATTATAAATTTATTACAATAATATTAAAAAAAAGGGTATGAAAAAGCTAGCGACATCTTTTAAATAAATACTATATTAAAATGTACAGTTTTTACAATATGCTTACAATTTATAGCGATAAAATGAGGTTAGAATCGAAAAATTATAACGATATTATTATTTTCTTTCTTCTACTATTTATTCGTAAATTGAATTTAAATTATTTCTATTTATTAAAATTTTTTTGAACTCACTATCTAATATATACACAATAAAAAAAAAAAATATGTTACCATAACCATTTTGAATATTTTTTATTTCAATTTATGTTTTAAACGAGGATTTGTAGAGATTATACGTAAGCAATTTAATTTTAAGAACGAAAAAAAGCAATATATTATGAATTAAATAATTAATAATTATTCTCTTATAAAAAGAGAATTATAATAATAATTACTCTCTTTAAAATTAATGGAAATTTTTTGGAAGCCAATAAAATCATCATTAGAATTATTGTGCTACATGGATTAAAATATTACAAAAGTATTTTATGCTACATGGGCCTTTTATTACCAAAGTTTCTTATGGATTGTATTTTACAGAAATATATTTTTAATATGTATATATTTTAGAAATGTATATTTGTATATTGAATTTTAGAAATGTATTTATGTATATTTTAATTGAAATTATTATAAATAAAGAGTATGGGGGTCATCGTTTATTTAGTTCTAGAATAGTTTTAACTTGTAATACGTTCGAAAATTCACGCTACATACACTGAAAATAAAGAACGTTCAGAAATTACTGACTGTAAAATAAAGTGCATTCGGAATCAATAAAATAAAGTGCCTCAATCTGCAATAAGGAAATGTTAGAAATGTGGCGCAGAACTCTAGTATAAATTTTGTCGCTGCCTCATGAAATTTCTCTTTTTTTTTTTTAAATTCAAATTTCAAGACAAAATTTTTAAATTTCAAAATGGCAGACTCAGAAATTGAAGGGTTATCAAGTAAATCTTTAAGTTTTTAAATCCTGTTAAAATTTTCTTATTTTGCAGTGCAATTGGAAGGCGAAAATTACTGAGATAAAATTTCATAAACAATATCATTTCTG